CCCCCCACAGATCATTCAACGCGTTGTCGTATTATAAAATTTTGAAACATTCTCAGTTCGAAACTTGATTGGGAATCGGCTTTTCTGATTGGTTCGTCCCACTTTCTCCAAGAGAATGATGGGACAATAGCTAATTTGAATCTTGGTCTAGATAAAATGTATTCTGAAATGTTTTTGGTCTGTGCAACTATTTGAAGTTGACGATGGAATGTCTTTTTCCAGATTGTTTTCGGGAGAAGGATTTTAGCATAGTTGACGAGTAACGCTCACTTTTCATTACAATAGTTTTGTTGCATGACGGGTTTTAAGTGTTATTCAGAAATTTATGAAATTATCGTTTTATAATTTTTATGCAATTATGCCTGTACGACTCTTGTCGTTGGTAAAGAGAACACCGCTCTTATTCTTGTGTGTTCGTCTGAACGTGTTTAGTGACTCGTCTGGCAACGGGGTTTTCTGGCTCCATAGTAAAACTTTGAGCAAATCCGTCACAATATTCAGGTTAAACCAACCACCGTCAACAATACCTCAAAACTGGCGCGGAAATAGTGTAAAAATACGTAATCCACATCTGCTCAGGTCACTGCTGCCATCTATTTCCCTCTCAAGAACTGATTGCTCATCTATACCAATAACAATACACCTATACCTAAATACAGTGTCCCTAACACAGGAATTTGATTTGATATTCTGTTGGTGATAACTGGGGGAAATTTATAAGGTTTATACAGTGTTAATAGACTGTATGTCGGAAAATAAATATTACGTCACAAATTGATGCAGCCCTCATCAGATACAGTCTCTATTAACGGAAAATTTTGTTGGATGAAAGTAATTTAATTTCAAGGGTTCGTGACGCTGGTGTGTGGGAACGTGTAATGAAACGTGTGTTGATAGGGGAGCATTTGTTTTGTGCTCAAAGTTAGTAACTTATATGGTTACGTTGTTGAAAATTGAATTTGGGGTTAGAGTGAGTATTTATTTATTTATATATATAAAGTATACAGTTAACTTTGTCTTGTGTGAACAGATCTATCAGTATTTAGGGTCACATCGTTTGCTCTTACGAGCCCCCCTCCCACGACTGGTGAAAAAGTATAATATGCTCTCATGCACTCATATCTTTCCTAGGAGTTAAACATAATAATTTGCCCAATATTCAGAGCCCTCTAAACATCTTCGTGGTGTGATGCCTATACCCGTCCGTTTTTACTTTCATGCTGTACCGAAAGCATCCATGTTTGTGTGCATTTTCCATTTCATATATTGAAGCGCCGTGTTGCTTTCAGGTTATTTTCTTACTTGTGATGATTTCTGCTGAAGGGGAATGGAGTTTCCCCGATACCCTTGAAGGATTTGGCTACGCATTCAATAAAGGTAAACGAAGCAGTAAACTGAAAATTCTGAGACATTTGTGTGGACTCAATTATGATATATAACTTACATTCTGAAACTTTATTTCCTATAGTGACCTAGTGGTAGACCTCCGATTTTCTTTCTGCCCTGTCATCAACTGAAGGACTTTACAGTATGGTGAACATACAATCTCTGAATTTGTGTTTCTTCTGTAGTTACTTGACAGAACATGAATTATGCTAGTGTGTCCTAGATGTGCAAAATGCTGAGTAAAATCAAAACCATTGGATTGCAGATTTAATGAAGCAGCAAAGAAACGCCCCTCAACCTGTCATTTAACTTGCATTCCATTTAAGGTTACCAGCCCAAGAAGAAATCAATCAGATTTAACAGTAGTAACTGACCACCATTTTTTAAAGATGTAAGTTACCATTGAGTATGAATAATGAACATACACATAAACTTTCTTTGCTTTCCAGATGGACAGCTAAGGAAAATTGATCCAAATACTGGTGGACCAGGAAGTGAATCCTTTGAGTTTAATGTTAGTGAGAATGAAGACTACAATCAAAAGAGATATGAAGCTTTAGGTGATGTAAGTGTAACAACTGAAAACACACGTATATGCAGAGGGGTCCAAAAAATGTACTCACTTTTTGATAGGCAATATCTTTGGAACAAAATGACATGTAGTTACAA